TTGCTTTGTGTGATGGCTTTCAGTTGCCGTAGCAAAGGCATTTGTGTTATTGCAGTGTACTTCCTGCTTGCCTTTCTTAACTTATAGTAAGCAGATGAAGTGTGGTTGATTTGATCCAACATATACTTTCCTGTGATCCTCATTGAAATAGCCAATATCAAACCCACTACAATCTACATTTTGGCCTGATCTTGTCTCAGAAATGCTAGGTTGTTGAGGTATGTCATGCACCTTTCAGATGACCAATGATAGTTTAACACAGAGTTCCCCAACCTTTTCGGCTTTGGCTTTGTTGATCGGTGGGGGAGGGGGAGAGGGGATTATTCCATGTGCATGGCGGGGCAAGTGCGTGTGCTCACCCACTGCTTAAACAAGTGGGGATGTGTGCACACATGTGCACACTCGCCCACCACTTCTGTGGCCAGTTCTGAAAGGCTCAAGGCCCAGTAGTGGGCCATGGCCCGAGTTTAGGGACATATAATGCAGTATGAACTGTGGTTGTCCTTCTTTCCACAGACAGAATAGGAAACCTTTGAACAAGGTCCGTATAACATGGCTAGAAGAGATGGAAATTTCAAACAATACATCAAGCAATAAAGTATTTCTGCATAACTCTGGTAAGTGGCAAAATCAATAATCTGATAACACTTAGTTCTCACTTATCCTTCTCATTTACATTAGGTAAGTCAGAAGTATTGAACTGATACATGAAACTGGCATTAGAGGACTAAATACATTCTGGGAAGACAGAAGTGTCTATATTGGTGGCTGTTTAGCATGCATGTTGATTAGGCTTCAGGTGATCAGGTACATAGTTTGGGATATTTTAAGGGTCAACTTTCTCTTTAGAGATTACAGTTGATTTGGTAGTGTTTCTGGACAGGTATTTTTTTAAATCTATTTGGTCTTAACCTGATTTCCTACTATTATCCATTTATTTTTCACCTGAAAGGAACCAAATTTCTCTACATTTCTATCCTCTTTGTGATGTTTACGGTTGGGGGGGGGAAATGGATACATTTTCAGGAATATCTTTAAAGTCTTGCCCAAAAGAAACTTAAACATTTTTAATTATCACTAAGAAGACAGGTTAAAACCTTGTGGTTATACATTACAATTCTTTGGAGGAGTTGGCTGCTTTTAATTATCACTCTAAAACAGGGGTGTCAAACTGCTGGCCCACGGGCCGGATGTGTCACGCAGAAGCTGTGCTCACCCCAGCTCCGGCAACAGGAGCATGTGACACAGCAAGTTTGACACCCCTGCTCTAAAAGGACAGTAGGCTAATAGTTGTTAACTTGTTTTACAGTTATTTTATACTATTGTAAACCATTGTGTAATCAAATTGTTGTCATGTAATGCAGTATAAGCTCAACAAAATATCCTAGTGGGACAAAATAGGTCTTGAAAGCTTCTAATTCCAAAGTACTCTTAAAGGTGACTGCTTTTGTAGCTCCAAACTAGTGAAAATTGGGGACAGATATAAAGAACCAATGTATATCTTCTTTGAGAAAAAAACGAATTGTCATAGGATGTCAAGCCTTTTACTCCAGTGCAATCAAGTATTTTCATTAGATACCATCCATTTGGACTTAAAGTAGGATTCTGCTCCTGGTTACTATGCCAGTCTACATTATCTACAGATTATTCCCAAAATAAAAAAAAGGTGTGTGCAACTCTGGGGCTGCTTGTCATGAACCAGGGAACTGTATTTGTCCTCACCTCTCTACAATCTGCTGCCTCAGCTGAGGGTTACTCTCTTCTTGTTCCCAGTGCTGATGAGATGTGCCTGGCCTAGCTGCTGGGCCAGGTCAGGCTGCTAAATAAACATAATTTGAAAGTGAAAAGCAGTCTGAGAACTACAGAACATCATAAAGCCCCTTTGCTTCACGCTCCTGGACAGGGCCAGGTCAGGGGAGCAAAAAGCAGCTCCAGAACCACAATACGTTAAAATGCTCCTCTGCAAGAAACTTGTAAAGTACAGTGTGCCCCCAGACCTCTTTGACTCTCCTGCAACTTTTTCCCCCCTGGAAGCATGTCCTGCAAATCCTTGCCCCCCCTTTTTTTTTTTGTAGCAGCAACAGCAGCAGCAGGAAGGGGGGCATTTTGGCACCATAGCTCTGGGGCTGCTTTTGGCTTTTATTTTTTTCATAGCTGAAGCCCAGTCCCAACTGGGTCAGCAGTGAGAGCAAAAAGATGGCGAAGATCAGCTGGGGCAATGGAATGCAGGGGCCCAGGGGGGTCAAAAGGGCATAGATGAGGGAGCAGGTGGGGGAAGTTGAAGCACCCTGTAGTTGTAACTGTGGTGGGCTGCCAAGTGCCCAAATTTTGATCATGTGACCATGGAGCGCTGCAACAGCTGCAACTCCAGGCACTGATGGTAAGTCCATTCGTTCAGCACTGTTGTAATTTTGAACAGTTGTTGAATGAAGTCACAACCTGTATGCAGAGAATCTCGTCTCCATTCGCATTAATGCATAGAGACACAGATTTGTTAAAAGGTCATTCATTTTATTCTCTTGGCACTAACATTTACTAACATATACAAAATATACAGTATATAGATCTTATGATGGAAATTATTTCAGAGTGAGAAATGATGTAAAAACTAATGTGCATAGGAGTAGCAGAGTTTTTAACAAATTTATTACCAATTCCTAATTATATCCATTATTCTTAACTTTAGTTTTCTGTGTTTGAAAAAGAAATAACCTTCTGTATTGCACAATTGTGTTGTGGGTAGACTTTTCCAGGATACAATATGATTCTCAATGCTTGTTTTGTTAATAGGCAATGCTTTGTTAAGGCTTTTTAATTCCTGCTTCTTGTCTTCATTGCAACATTCAGGTATTACAAAAAATAAAAATTGATTAACTCCTTTGTAGCAGAAACCTGGTGCCATTACTATGTTTTAGCAGGTACTCATTCAGTTCCTTAAAAAAGGATGGAATTTCTATGTATCTGATTTAGTATTTGTGATTGTAGAATCACGGGATTGCCAACTCTTCCAACCTGTTCTCCTAGCTTGGGAACTAAAGAGTTGCATGTAGAAATTTCAGTTATAGAGGATAAAAACCAGATTGGCTTGCTTGACATTAATATGCTATGATCAAAAGGTCAGTACAGGAATAAGAATTTCCACAGTGGTGTACCAATACAGAGGTTATATCACATTTTTGTAGCTATATAAACACACACACACACACAAACAAACTACTTCTAAGATGTCATCTAATTTCTTGGTGCTTGAAACTCTTCACTTTCAATTATCAAATATAGGTGGAACTGTTCTAGGAAGAGACTCTTCGAAATCTGCAAGAGTTTTGTGCAAGAAAAATGCATCCAATGCGACAACTGATTGTGATTGTGATGGCAGATCAATTCATAGTGTGTTAATATAGCACTCTAGGTGTATAAATGTAACATGTAATTTCTACATTTCATTTTTCCTATAAAAAGGACCATTTAGATTGGTATTAGGAACTGCTTTCTGATGCATCTTTTATGCCATGGTCATATTCCTTGACCAAAACACCTGATCTCAAACACACAGCTATTTTCTGAAAGCCTGCATAGAGTTAAGGTTGTGCATGTGTAATTCAAATGTGATTTGGAGGTTAAGAAATTATGCTTAGTACAAGCATTTCATCAACACGATCTTAAAGGTTCTCTTCCATCATTAAGGGAATGCAAAGAAGTAGTGCAAAGAAGCTCCCCATAAGGGCTTAAATTTAATTTTCTTTTATTCTAGGGCAAACTCAGAAAGTTTTATTATTATTTTTTTTAGCAAATTCTATCATGTAAATGTTAACATAAAAACATCTGTACATTTGCCATGATACACTCAAAGTGAAACAAATAAGATATAAATACAGATATGGATGTAACATGACAAAGCGCAAAAAATAAAAGAAAATAAAACAACCAACCCAAAATCAAAATTAAATACATGCGCGTGAACACTGTGCCAAGAAACTTTCTGATGGCTGACTGTTTTGAAAAGCTTTGCCAGCCTGTCCTTCCCGTTTATAACATTATTATTGTTAGCAAACTTTTTCTGCATTCTACAAATATTTCTTTGTTGTCCTTTAATGCGAACCATTACACTTGATAAATAAAGGGGTTGAGAGGGTGGTAGAAAGAAGATTTATGTGACAAGGTTGCATGGTACATTAGGTATACAGGTTACTGTAGAGCTAACAAGAAGTGATAGAAAAATCTTGTGTTGTATTGTAGTCCAGCAAGCCCACATAGTGTACCTTTTCAAAGAAAGCCACATGCCTCGGATAATTCAGCACTACATTAAGGAATGGACAGGATTCAGATGGTGAAAGGGATTGCACGGATTTGTATACTCCTGCCCTGGATACACTGATGTGCCCTGTGAGAACAGAGGCATCCCCATCTAAGCATCGGGCAGGTTGTTCTGTGTGAATTTTGTTCTGTGTGAATTTTCAGATACAATGGCCTGAAAAGGGAAAGGTCAATAGAGAAGACCCTGAAAGAAATCACATCGTTTTTTCTCAAAAAGTTAAAGCCCTGTCTAAGGCAGCAAGAGACGAAGTAGCTGAGCACATTTGGACCGTGCTGGGGGAAAAGGGAGCCCTCTCTATTCTGGCTCTTGCTTTTTGTGTGCCAGCAGCATGCAGATCTACTTCCATCAGTATGGACAGAGTAATAGCTAAAGAATCCTTTTGCCCAGAGCATTTAAATACATCTTACATTCCCCAGTTGTACAGCTTTAAAGAAAGCAAATTGTTGTTGCAGATTAAGCTAGCCCTTTGAGCACTGCCAAAAGTAATAAAAGTACGTGTATGATAATCTTTAAGATGGAAATAATTTGATAAGATATGTTAGGCGCAGAAAAACCATTATAAATCATTCAGGCTGAATGGGATCAGGAGGAGGCTATCCTCTTGAAGTACTCTAGGTCTGGAGGACTCCTGATCAGTGGAGGTGAAAGTTAAGAGAACAAGTGTCACACTAAGGAACATCGTTGACAAATGAAAGAAGTCCTTTATTAAGGAAGGAAGGCCTGGTTATCTGAGTTGCAGCTCCAGGAAGCCAATCAGAGCTTTGGAAAGAACATTTTCTCATGGAACATTGAAGCAGCAGAAATAGAATTTCACACATATCTCCTAGGAGACATTTTTCTCTGACAGCAACATTAGGTCTTTTACCAGTATACAGGCATTACAGTGCATTTAGTCTCAGTGCACACTAACAGATATCTGTGTCACAGAAGGAATACCATAAATACTGTAACAAAACAGAGCTCTGTTAAAACAAAGAAACAAACAGTAAAGCTGTTGTCAGGTAGGTTAGAACCAATATTAAGAGTAGTTTGCAATTTCAAATATTTTGAAAAAAAGATGTTGAAATACACTGAGAAGAAATTGTAAACCGAGTTGTCCATGCAGAGGCAGCTCTTGAATCAGTTCTACAAAACTAACCATATTGCCCTGTATAGATTGTACTGTTGCATATTTGCTTGGGATTTCTTGAATTTTCATGACCTTTGCCACACAGGTGATTGTTATTGGGTTTTTTTCTAGTTAAAAAAAACTAGTTGAAGGGCTTGATTTTATAGCCTGTATAATTATGTCTGGAAAAAAAATGCAAACCACTCCAACTTTTAAGCTCAGATTTAAAATGATGCTTGAGAAATTGGGGAAACTAGAACAGCTAGTTAAAAGTGTGACTATAATACAAATATAGTCTAATATAAATTCAAGCTCTTCATCAATATCAAAGAAATCTGTTTGATAAAATACGAACGTGTTATGCATCTCTGGGACTACTTCAGATCTTAGCAGAGACAGTATGTAACTGCAATGTATTTAACCACAGTACACTATTGCCTTGTTTTTAATGAAAACTGCAATCCAGGCCTTGCTTCCCTTATATTCAATTCCAAGAATCTCCTACAATAAAAAGCTTTAAAAGGACTAAAAATACTGATTGCAATAAATATTTGCATGGCCTCCATCAGCAGATGGAGCGTGCTGATGAGGGGAGGGTTTCTGAGAGGCACAGCTGATTGTTTCTATGTCTACACGTGTGTCCAAAGATCTCCATTAACTGTGTGTAGAAACATCTGAGGATGAGCTGCTGTTGCTGTTGGTAGTCTGGGCTCTCTTTATGTACAAATTCAAGAGCTTCATCTGTAAAAAAAGACAAAAAAGAGTAACTTTCACGATTTTTAGTTATTTTATTCCTTTCAGAGCAGGTCATTGTTATTTATTTTTACTATTTGTATACTGCCACAATCAAGGGAGCAGCCACTGAAGTGGCTCTCTCCCAAAAGTGAAATTGTGCATTTTTCATGCACGTAGAACAGTATCAGTACTATTCAGGTGGATGTAATGCTACACTTGATAAAAATTGTATAATTATTTTGCAATATTTTTATTGTAGAATTTTTTTTGACATTACCTATAAGAAATCCATATGTTAGCTTCTGCTGTTCATTTCTGAAGTTAAAAAAATGGAAAGCTTGACAGGCTGATCGAATCCAGATGTCTTTCATACTCCTCATACTAAGAAAAGTATAACTGATACTACACTACTTTTCCATCAGATTCCCATTACAATTGTGTTCTCAGATTTCAGCATATCTAATCCTAAGCAAGATGTTTCTACAGAATGAACATCATAAGTAGATTCAGGATCACCTAATCAAATACATAAGGAAAGGGGTACCCTTCAAACTTTGCCACTCATATCATGATGAGTTTTAATTTAGTTTTTAATCACTTTGAGGATCAGCAAGCTTAATGCTCCTTGTTTACTTGCTTAACATGCTAACTTGCTAACATCTGTGGAATCTGCCTGCTCCTGTTTACTTGCTAATCTGTGGAAACAAGGAGGCTGTTGGCATTCTGAGAATATATATTTTCAAGGTGCCTAATGCCCATGCTGATTCTTAATTCTCCTTTTCACATCTCCTGGCATACTGATACTGTTTTGAATGGATTTTGGTCTCTTATAAGATCTCTCTCTTGCTGTGGCTTGCATTATTTTATAGGAAAGTAAGAATGGGTGGTCTTCAAAGTTTGAAAAAAACCTTTGAGCCCTGTCTTCTCCTATCATCAATAGAATCTTGTCAGTGCCCAAATTTCAAATTAGGTTTCAAAATAAATTGTTTAAAACCAGTTAAAATTAATTTGCACACTGCTAATCCTATATTCTTAATTTGTTCAGCTCTACATCTATTCATCTTTAATGTTATTTTCAGCTGCTACTATCACTGGATTCAAAATGAGTATCTTTAAATGTTTTTATAGTAAGAAAAAACGCAGGGATTTTTAAAAAATGTATATTGCATTAGAGAGTACTGATATACGCAGAGACCATTCTTCTAATTTTAATTAAATGTGTGGAGCAAGTTATGAAGAAACTTTTATTTCCTATATATTTTTTTCTGGGGTAAAATATTATTCTAATCCTTCTGCTTGGGTAATATTTTAATGTGGGCTCACTTAAACAGCTATTATTTGGCTTCTTTAAAATCCTGACAAGTGCTTGATTATATTGGAAAACACAGGATGAAAATAGGATAGATACTCTTAATCATCTATTAACAACTTTCTAAAAAGAACACAAAAAGAATCTAATTGATAAAAAAACAACAAAATGACAAAAATATGGATAAAGCAGTTGCTTTGTTCCATAATTATTTGGATGCTCTCTGATCTTGGTTTTTTTTCCCCCCAGACATTTCATTACCAAACTAGGTAGCGTCTTCAAAGCACTTCAGTTTATAAATCCAAATATGACCAACACATTTTTTAAAAAAATATCAAAATAAATTTGGATAATATATAAGAAATTTGGAACTAGAATACCCTACGTTAAATAAGTCAATGGTTTCAGGTTTTAAGAAATGCCAAATATGCTTATGAGTTCAATAAACTTTTTTCCCCAGTTTGGTTCCCAAATTATTCCTTGCTATTTGGGGTATGTCACAGTGCTCTATGTGTAAATCTGCCAAAAGTGTGACAAACTGAAGTCACTTGTTTAGCCGATTCAAAGATATATCTGTAAAGGAGATACTTTGCCATTCATAAAACTAACAACCCACTAAAATCAGTGACTGAGATTATCCATTTCTTTTATGTCCTTTTGGAAGAGAACCTCAGTTATCAATTTCAAGACTTGCCCCTTTCGTTCTATGAATACACTTTGAAGCAGTGGTGCACATACCTTGCTCCCAGTCAGTTGTGCAAGATGAGGCTTCAATTCTTCACCAATCACTGAATAGATGGCCACGAGGCAAAATACACTGGCTTTGCGAACACTGCTTTCGGTGTTGTCATAACCCTAGATGCAAGATATCAACTCCCATGAGAATTAAAAAAAAACACTTTTCTTTCAGTTTTAGAAACTCAAAGGATGAATGAGATGGATACATCACATTGTTCCCCAAAGGAGATATATTAAATATAACCCCTCTCAAAACTCCTGTACCACTGGTCCATATCTGTCTGTGCCTTTAAAAAAAGAAGTACAGAGTACTTATTGCCTCATTGCAAACAGACTCTACCTCAGGTTAAAAGTAAAAGTGACAAGACTTCCGGTGGGACGGCACGCCGATGGCGGCTCTTTTCGGAGCCGTCCGCTTGGGAAGGCGTCAGAGCCAGCATGAACAGCGGTCAGCAGCTGTTCAGCGGCTTGGAACCTTGTGCCCTGGGAGAAGGGGTCGAGGTGAGTACTCCTGGATAGGAGTAGAGTCCCAAAGGCTCTCCCTTTATCTCGGGAGAGCGAAATTGGGTACTCCTCCGGAGTCCGGGAAATCTCCGTCTCCCAAGTGCCTTTGTTCCCTTTGTTTTTGGGAACAAAGCCAGTCGTTGCCTCCACTTCTGTGAATTACAGAGAACTGTGAGTAAA